CCTCAGAGCTGAAAAACAACATAGAAGGTTCAGTAATTAAACCCGTTTGTGAAACTACGTCATAAAAGAAACAAAACAGATGTGACTAAATTTGCATAGCTAAAATGAATCAGGCTAAAGTTTAACATTTAAATGGGGAAGCATTCTCTGATTAAACCGATTCTTCAGTTTGAGATTATTGTAGTTAATAGGTCTGCATTTATACTGGGAAAACCATGTCTCCAAAGATTTTTAAACCCACTACATGATTGTGTTACATCATGGAAATAATCTATCAGGAATAGGACTATGGACCTCTACAGGTGTGGTTTGAACTAGAGTACAATTTCTTGATGTCTGAAGGTGTAAAGTTTATCTGTTCAACTACACACAGATCTAAAGAGTGTAGATTGAACATCCATCAAGCTAGTCAGGTGAAATACTAGTGGAAGGGTTTTAGTGAGACTCATTTTAGAAGAAAAACAAATGAGGATGTGAGAGTCATATCCACAGTGAAATAAGAGCTGTACTGACATGGGCTGAAAAGCCACTGAGTGAGGAACAGTCCAGAGTATAGCAATTATTTACAAGGCGGCTTAAAGATGAGAACATTAGGGTTTTAGAGCAGCCATCATGTAGCACTGATCTCTGTGCCAGAGAACGTCTGTGGTCAGAGCTATAAAGGGTGTGTGAAATCCAACCAATCAGACTCCATTACAGCAGGAGGAATGGGACATAATTGTAATGAACCACTGTGAAAAGCTTGTCAACCAGATTAAAAAGCCAATCAAACCATTTCCATGAATATGTATGTAAGCTAATACATTTGAAAAAATTGACCTCTGATTTTAATGATTAGTACAAAGAGATGTTAGCAATAACCAATGCAATAACAGTAGATGCAGCCAGGGTGTTTGATTGGAGCAAATTCTGAAGCAACTGTCTCACTAACTGACTATTCTGCAACAATTGAGGAGAATCGAGGTAAACGTTGCTCAAGAATCTAATTATTTTAAAATAACAAGGAACTGTTTTAATTTTTGATGTTTCATAGAGGAATTTCAGGTTGGTGCTTTAAATCTCTGTCCAGTGACAAATGGTCCACTGTTTTTTTTTTTCCCAGGGTTTTATTGTCATCACACCGTCACAAGTACAGAGCAACGAAATGAAGGCCCAGTCCAATTTTGTTCAGAGTTTTCGTGCTTGTTAGGAAATGCCGGCTCCAGCAGTTATTTTACCCATTGCTTGAGCACTGAGGACCTTTCTCCGTGTGGCCAACCAACTTTTCTTTTCAGGGCTTTCAGCACAAAATTACACAAATTGCCAAGGCAGTGCGTTTCTCTATAGTGAGTTTGATATTCCCCTTCTATTTGTTTGGCTTCCGGAAAGACGAGTCAGATCAGCTCCATCTCACTGCAGAGCTGAGTCCGACTTGGTTTTTAGCCGTACAGTGTGAGCAGGTACATTGCCTGACAGCGTCGTGCTGCACATACATTGTGAGCTGTGAACTCGCACTGTGCGACTAAAACCTATGGTTAGTCATACAGTGTGTGCAGTAACTACGTGCCACGATTGAAACAAATCGCAGTGTAAGCCCGGCTTGAAAGTAGAGCGATGGGGACATAATGCATTCACAAATATGCATCTCAAAGTGCTAAAAGATGGTTAAAAAAGATGAAAATGATCAAAACTAGATTAAAATGATAAGTTATTGATTATTAGACCTGGAAAGCTACCTTTGTCTAACAGATATTAGTCCAGGAATCAGTCTCCAGATGTTAATTAAGCTCTAAACACCAATTTGTTACCTTCATTACCTGCTTCAAAACATCTGCTTGACCCAAAATATTTCAAACCAACCAAGGATCTTAATGACCTAACACAACATATCCATGCTTTGTATGGTGCTATTAAAAATACTCAGGAAGAAAGAGAATTTAAAAACCTCTCTTGTGTACTTAGTTAATACTGTGCATTTTACTGACATTTTTTCAATTCTTCTTCTCTCCTATGTCCCTTTATGAGGGCTTCAAGCTGTCTGGTTGCTGTTTATTTTCAGCTTTATTTGTTTAAAAACTTGCCACAATATCTAAGTTCAGTCATGGTGTTTTGGTTTACTTGCATAAAGATCACCTGCATTTTTCCCATCATGTTGTGGAGCATGCAGCTGAGCATAAATTGCCCTGATTTTTCTGGTCTCTAGAAGAAGCTCTTCTCCAGTGCGATCGCAACATAAAGCTGTGTAATCTACAGGAAGGGAGGTTTACCTGTCGCTCCAGGGCCCGTTCCACTCTCTCTGACCCCAGGGGTTCCTCATGCGGATCATGTTGAGTTTATCTGACTTGAAGTAGGCCAGCAGGCCATGGCCGAGCCTTACTCTGCGGATATCAGTCACAGCATACGCGTGGCCTTTCACCAGGCCGGAGGATAGTTTAGCCTCCATGTCCTCTGCGGTAACTGCCTGGAAGAAGAATTTGTTTTTTAGTTTCAAACATTCATCCACTGTGGGTTTGCCTTTGTCTCCTTCTCACCCGGATGGAGCAGCTGATCAGGCCTCCTCTGCCGTGCACCTTTAGGACTCTTTCAAACAACTCATTCCGTTTCTCCTCATCGTCTTTGTACCCATTCTCAATCAAGTCCATCGGCTCACAAATACCCCCAGTAAAATCCACCAGAGCGTCAGCTGTGTTGCCCCCGTCCAGAGCTTCGTAGCATCCATACATCCTGAAAAACACAGACAGGAAAACATCCAGTTAGTTCACTCATCAGTTAGGCCCTTAAAAAGTTCATTGTTTTAATTTTATTTCAATAATAAAACAATTAAACACTCACTTAATGCTTTATTAAATAATGAACCAGTGCCAGGTAAATTTATTCTATTGTTATACATTTGAACCAAATAAATCTCTATTAATCCCAACGTGAAATATAATGTAACTCTTGCAGGCGTTTCTTTAACCAGTGTGTTGATGGCTGAAGGCAGAAAGGATCTCTGTAGTGTTCTGTTTCTGGAGAATCCTCTGACTGAAGATGCTCTTCTTTTCCTGACAGGCTGATGAAGAGGAGGCCCAGGCTTTTCCATAACGTTCTTCATTTTATGAAAAATCCACAATCGGTTTCATACGGGTGCTCAGAACAGAGCCTGCCTTCTTAATGAGTCTGTTTGTCTTTTTTAAAGTCCCTACCTCTAATGCTGCTACCCAAAAAAGAAGAAGAAAATCTAACTTTTAACATCAGAAGAAGTGCAGCTTCTTGCAGCAAACACATTGGTACCTAAGGTCCTAAAGGAGAACAGTCTGCTGTGGAGTTGCATCTCCAGTCTACTCTGTTGTGCAGGTGTACAACAAGATACTCCAACTTCTCCATCCCTACCTAATCAATAACAAGGTAATGGTGTTTAACCTGTTCTTGTTTCTTTTTTCTACAATCTCCTACCTTGATTTATTTACATTTAGAATAAAATTTAATATTTCCAGTGCATTGATACCATTGATAGTATTTATCATGATTATTCGATTATTGAAATAATGTTTACCTCAATTAATGTCACACAAACACTGAAACATGTCAATTGCCAAAAGAATAACCAACTTGAAGAAAAAATAAAACAAAACTTTATAAAAACATCAACATTTTACATTTAAAACAGAAAGAGAGAAAACAGGAAAGATGAAAAGGAAGACAAAGAGGTTGAAGACAAAAAAAGGACAAGAAAGAGAAAATTTTGTAAATTAAAAAATCATGACAGAAACCCTGAAAGATAAAAAAAAAAATGGATGTCTCACTTGGCATAGGCTTTCTCCACCAGAGCGCTCCAGAACTCATTGTTGTCATTGGAGTGGCAGTACACCAGCTGTCCGTTCACCGTCGGAAGCCGGTCATCAATCACCACGTCTACCCACTGACCGAACCGCCAGAACTGGAAGTGAAAGATTCCGGCGTACGAGTCTGGGTTTTCTTTGTCCCACTCCTGGTCTTTCCAGTCTGGAATTACCTGTCAGAATAAGAGAAAAATGCAACTCTGATCCTCAGCTTCAGTTTTAAAAGTTAAACTTTTCCAGAACAAATACAGTGTTGGCTAAACATATCAATTCCATCCAGACTAACTGAAAATTGCGTAGCTCATTCTTCCAGTAAAGCTACAATCGCCCAAAGAGCCGGCTTCTAAAACTTTTATCACTGACCAGATGTAACGTGTAAATAGCCAAGTTTTCTTTAGTTATAATAACACTTCCATTTGCATAAAACTTTTTAATCAGGGGAATATGCCATCCTTCCATATCTTTTGCCAAATCCCTGTTGACGACATATTAACGTTGATGTAACAGCCAAACTTAAACCTGATTGAGGTGAGCGATATAAATAAATACCAGATCCACTGAGCTGAGACGAGCAGAGCTCCCAGAAGCCCTCAGGAAATTCTCAACGTTCCCTCTTGGACGTCATCAGGATCCCAGTTGCCTAGCATCTTCAAACATCACTCACCAACTCAACACCTTGAAAAAACCTCTGAGATTTTTTTATCTAACTACCAGACATTTCCCAGAGTATTCTGTTAGGGGGGGATATTTCCACTGATATAAAGACGAAATATAAAATAAAAAAATTTGTAAAAATCATATATTTTGAAAATATATAATACTTCAGACAACGTGATCAGCAATCCTAACTTAAAGTCCCGGATTAAAATGATTCTAGTTAAATTAGATTATTAATGTAATATTTGAAGGATTTTGAGTTAAAACACTTTTTAAATTTCTTAATATAAATGAGAAGTTGTTTTCAGCCAGACTCTGATGACTGTAATCCAGTCAGAACAATTGTCATTTTGGGTCGATCTCATGTCCTGTTACTCTTCCCCATCCATTCATTACAGTCAATATTTCCAGACTAAACTACCCTGTGGGCAGGGGGGGTGTGGGGGGGGGGGGGGGGGGGTGTGGGGGGGCTGAAGAGAGAAACTCAAACAATGTGATGGAAACAGTTCGGAGGGGAGGAGGAGCTGGAGTATATGACAAGTGGGAGGGAGGCTTTGAAGAGAGTGAGATTAGGCACTCCACCAGGACTCCATCCATCTGCAGATCCCTACATACATCCGAGCCTTTTCCTTTCAGAATCGAGGAATACGACTTCAAAGACGGAAATGAACCAGCAAAGACAATCCTCTGAGAAGTTGGTGCTGGACTTTAAGGAAGACACGGCTCTGACCGAGGTGAGATTCTCACTTTTTAATTACAACTTCTTACTTTCTCAGATAAACGACAGCAGCTTCAGAAAAAAAAAAAAAAAAAAAGTTAGTACTTTACGCTTCAGAAGAGAAATCTCTGCTCATAATGCTAAAATGACACCTTTAGAAGTGAATGACACGTTATTTTATGTGTGCAATGTTTGTATTTAGTAAACTAAGGTGATTCTGCTGTTGTGGGCTGTTTGGAGGTTCCTCTTAGATTCATTAAGAACTAGAGGTAAAGTTTATATTTGTAAATGCTTTCTATTTAACTAGATGCAACTGTTATATTTCTCTAAGCCTTTTCAAAAGTGTAACGAAAGCTTTACTGACCCTCAGCCTTAAAAGATGTTTCAGTAATGCCAGTGAAATGCAGCAGCCACAGATGCTCTGTTTGAAGCTGATGTGTTTTTCAGCAAACGCTGAGGGTCATCCAGCTGAATCAATGTGTGCCTAACATCACTATAGCTAATGCTGGAATTGATTTTTCTAAAATCTTGCATCTGATTGGTCAGGGTGACTAATCATAGGGAGGCTGTTAGTCACAAAGGCCCAATACAAAGCAAATATGAGCAATATCATTCTAGTAGCATTTTAAGGTGCACTAGGCCAACATTCTCCACAATATCTATGCCACTGATCTATGCCTCTGAAAAGGCGAGTCATTAGGATCATTGTTGGCCTGGCTGACCAAGCGTTTTGGGCTCCTGCATGGCAATGGGGGTTCAGATGATAGCGGGAAGGAATCAACTCTATCCCTGCATTGTAGGTTTTTGAGAACTGGAACCTAAGACCAGGTTTAGCGGTTGTTTGGTTTCTCCAATATAATGTTTCTCAAATTTGTCTCCCTACTATCGTTAGAGGAGCTTTATCAAACACCAGCAGAACTGTCTTTAACAAAGTGTAGCTATAGAGCATTTCTTGCTCATCCAAATCTTCTCTGTTTTCTTTGCAGATGATGCGTCTCCGCGTCTCGTCTCTTCAAAAAACAGGGCAGAAGCGTCAGGACGGTGAGCGTCTGCTCCTCCCTTATGAAGCGGTGTATCGTCTGGACTTCCCTGTCCAAGAGCTGAACTTCTCCCGCTGGTACTTCTCCCTCTCAGGCCACGGCCGGGTCACCATCACCGGCATTTCCCAGCACTGGACCCCCGATCTCACTAACCTGATGACCCGTCAGCTTCTGGAACCGATCGGGACATTTTGGCGAAATGCTGAGGACCCTGAGGAGTCGCCACTCAAGTGGCTGGAGGCAGACATGCAGGAGTTCGGGGAAAGGATTGCGGAGTTAGCTAAAGTGAGGAAGGTCATGTATTTCCTGTTTGCTTTCAAGGATGGGTCCACAGCAGCAAACCTCAGCTGCACCATCGAGTTCACACCTGAGAAAGGACCTTAACCTTCAATTGGTTCAGTCTTCTTAGAGAATCTGCTTTCATTTCAGTGTGAATAGTCTCCTTCCACCCCATTAAACATTAGTTATACACCAGCATGTTTTTCTTCCTTGTGCACATTCCCTTAATCACTGCTACTGCCAAATTTAACTTATTTTATAAAGCAGAAGATAAAATAAAGTACACACATTTGACTTAAGAAAACGGAAAATAATAAAATAAAAGGCAAGTCATGGAAGAAACAACATGTGGATTTTTGCAGCTACTTCTGGAACACCGGATAAAAAACTAAACAATTAAACCAGATTAATAAAACCAAGGAAATTGTCATTGGTAACCAGCTATTTTTATTTAGTGTCAAATTGTTGAACTAATGTTTAGTTTTTATCCTTTATTTTTATTGTGATTTTAAAAGAAATGCATTTGTTAGTAAGTAAACAGGAGTGGATGAAATCCCAAATATCCACAATGCATAACTACTGACCTGATGGATAACAGAGATCAATGGGGGGGTAAATTAAACAGCCTCTGAAAGCTTCACTGGGAAGGATGAGGGAGAGGGACAGAAACAAAGGCTGACATAGCAAAAACAAAATGCTTTTTTCCACTCCACACTTCATAAGACATCGACTCAATCTGACCAGTTTATTAGAAAATAAAGCAACACAGACTTTTTTTTTTTTGCTTGTTGTTTCTCTTTCTTTCTAAGAGCTGCGACACAAAGCAGAGGAATAAAGCAGGATTTACAGTAAAACTGATCCTTTATCTTTTCACATTCTGATCTGACAACAATAATATCAAACAAAAGTTAAAAATGATTCAAACTGCCTCAAATGTCTTCTACCTTAAAATGTACTTTCAATCCTTTGGCTTTCAGGGATCTTTTCTTTGCACTTTTAATGTAATTGAATGGAACAACACATGGGCACTTCTAGCCTTAACCCAAAACAAAAAAACTGTTCTCCCTACCGAGGGAAATGTGTATATTATGTTATGCCTTAGAATATGAAGAAAAAAGCAGTATGTTCCATTAGATGCAAAGTTTCTCATGTTGACAAAATATTTTCTTCCATGTATAACACTGATCCCTTTGCTGTATTGTGACGTGCCAATAAAGTGTTCATATAGTTTCTACCTCTCTGGTTTTTTTTTTCCTTCTCTCTAACTTTATGTTTGATGGCACTGGCAAAGACCATCAAGGTTCTAAACTCTCTGCCAACATGGTTATATGTATATGCTACTCTATTAGCAGATGCTACACTAGTGGGGTAAGTAGAGACGCACCGATTCAGTTTTTTCCTACCAGACCCAAATACCTGGGCTGAATGCATCAGTTGATATGATATCCCATACCGATCTGAATAAAATGTTTTTTAAATTAACCGTATAACTTGCCATGGGAGTAAAGGTCTTACCCTAGACATAAAAATTGTAAAAAAAAAAAAAAAAGGTAACAGTATATATATATATTACATTATTTATTAACAAAAAGCACTAAAAAGAAAGAAAAAAACAGTTCCATGTAAAGTGCACTAAATTGGTAGCCTGACGTAGTCCTCCTGAATTCTAGTCAGAATATGAGTCTGATACTGCTCCATAGAGCTGTGATTATGGGGCGTGTTTCGAACGAACCAGGAAAAAAAATGCCTCTGCACTCAATTAAATAGACCTACAACCAATAAGAGCAACGGAGTGCGTGACGTATGTTAAGCGACGCATAGTTGTTGTCAACAAAAATCAAAGTGTGCAGTTGCACGCCTAGAATAAGAAGATGAGCCTTGATCGCGTTTCTCTGTTCCTCTTTTAAAATTCATTTGCTGTCGATATCTTCTAGAACAGACCTAATAGCAGAATGTACACACTTAAACTCTCCAGCGGCAGCCATTGTTGTTGTCACCCAAGCGGTCACCCAAGCGCGCTTTGGTGACGTGGTTGATTACGTTACTGTTGATCATCTGTCCATCATCGTATAAAGCCCGCCCTGACAATTTGATTGGCCCGCCAGATATTGTGCGAGCATACTTGCGCTACTGTTGAGCAATGCCAGACCGAACTTCCCGACCTCAAACGTTGTGGGCGGGACTAATTTCGGAATGGCACCCAGGCTACTAAATTGGATCTCTAAGATCTCATATCTCTCTTTAAAATTGATACATTTTCTTTCAATTGTTAAAGATCTTCATGTTTAAATGTAAAGTTTATGTAATATATTGATTAACATAAACTGTTGCTGATAACTGTTATCGGAGGAATATCAAGTTATCACTTGATCAAATCTTTTCTAACATTTCACTATTAAATAAGGTATGTAAATTTCGTGCTGATATTGTGTAGTGTCAAAAATCAAAGCTGCAATATCAGTATTGTGTTGGAAAGATAAAAGCTGTCTGGGAAAACTCCCAGTTTAATATATTCCACATGTAACTACTGGATCCATTGTCCCAAACTGTCTTTATTTTAAGCTGTTATTTTCATTCTGTTGCATAATATTTGTGTTTTCCCATTTAAAAAAAAAGATAAAATAATCCAAATCACAAACATGAGACATAGACCATGCAATCAGTACAGAGAAATGATAAGGAGTCAAAATGCTAGTTGGCTATTTAGGTAAATGTTAGAATTTACAAAGAAGTCAATTTAATCACATTAATCTTATCTTCCATTGAACAGAAATAGAATATAACAGAAATGCAAGGACAGTGAAAGGTAAAGTGGGTGCAGAAGGAGATAAAAAAAAAAAGAGAATTTTAAAAGTCTCTGAAAGTAGAAAACAGTCTTATTCATAGAGCAAACTGTTTCTACACAAGTGTAAAAAAAATAAAAAATAAAACCTGCAAAGGTTAGACAATTAGCAAAGCAAAAACATGAAGTTATGGTTTTGTGTTTCTCTGTCTGTTGTCTCTTCCTCTATATTAGTTTTAAGAGCTCTCATTAGGAGAAATCAATTCCACTCTACTGGAAGCATTTTCAAAGAAAGAGAGTAAGAGTCAAAACTAGAGCAGATATCACCGTCAGAATAGAGCGCCTGCCTAATGATCTAAGCCATGAATCAGATTAAAGATAAATCTGCATTCATTTCATTAGCTTACTGGGTTTAAAGGATATTATTCCAAATGTACTGACAAGAAGAAAAATATACAGCTCTTATCTTTGTATATTTATCCATGGGAAAAGATGATTTCAGCCATATTGAATGTATATATGTTTGAACACGTTTAAAAAACTTAATTTATATATATATATTAAAACAAAACATCTTGTTTGGCTTAAACAATATATAAATATAGATATAACAAAACTAACTAAGAAAATATTTTCTAGACAACTGTTAGGTCCACAGAGACAAAATGACACCAGGAAAGAGTTGAGTTTCCTTTCAGCCAATGGAAAACTGAGAGCTACAGGGGACCTCTGAGACAAATGAGGGAACAGTGGAAAAAAAACACAGAGGAAACACACAATTCACAAAGGCCAGACACAAAGCACCCACCAGGAAATGTAATGAAGTGGGGAAAAAAGTGCAACATAGGGCAGCAAATAGATGAAATATAGTTAAGATTGATGTAGCAGATACAAATAAAATATAGATCCATAAAGGTACCCTTCTGTCTTTTACAATGATAACAGTAATTATGTCTTTTGTAATCATAATTGAGCTCCTTAAGGAGAGAGAAAAAGCCTTCTCACCTTTAACACTTGAAAAGCAATTGAACACAGGGTTAAATATCCAGCCAAAGAGTTTTAGAAACAAAGAACAAAAGTAACTCAGAAACAGTCCACTTCCTTTTTAGAAACAAAAAACACTTAACACCTAAAACACTGAACATGTTTTCAAAGAGAAGCACTATAACAGCACAGTGGAAACCAGCACAAAGAAACATTGCAAAAGCTATAGTTTAAATTGCAGTTAAGGTAAATTCTGGGGGTTTAGCTCTAAACCTCCTGAAACTCAGGTCAAATAAAAGCCATGTGTTTTGTAAGTGCACAAATCACAATCCTCTTTAGAAGAAAAAAAAGCTGGCAATGTAAATGTATGTTACTATTAAACTGTTAATGAACATTACTGTTCATCACCTTTGAAATTGAGACACTGTGTCTTTGATACCTGGCTGAAATCCTCCATACAACAAACACAAATTAAAAGCCATAAATTTAACTAGTAGAAAGATTAAAAAGGGAATTGTTAACTTCACCTAATAAAAACATGAAAAATCACTGTTAAATAAAAAAAAAAATATTAAAAAAAATCTTCTCAATTTTTTCTACTTAACTCCATTTAACCCCTAATTATTTTATTTGATATATAATGCAGAAAATCAGAAGGTATTTGATCAACCTGTGTGACATGGTATTCAAATACCTAAAGTTTACAAAATATGCTTTTATGCTTTTATTACACCAAGCAACCCAGAAGTGTTATTGACTTCCATTCAGACTGTAGTGTTTACTTTCGTTCAACAGAGGGCGCAGTCTTTGTACAAAGACTAATAACTGGATGAGCTGACATATTCTAGCCTTTGCACAAAAAAAGAAAGAAAAATAAAAGAAGTTATAAACACAAGATGTTTCAGAACCTACATTTTATCCCATTTCCAAAAGAGGATTTTTTTTTTTATTTACACATTTGAATAAAAGATAAACATAAATCAATTTTAAGATCTGAATGAGATGAAGAAAGAAAGAAACAAAGAAAAAAAAGAAACAAAGAAACAGATTTAATTGATCCACTGAGATAAAATTATGTTGTTTTCGCCAAAAGAGGTGAAAGCAGCTTTTCATCAGAATTTGTAGCAACAGTTCAAACCGTTCAACTTGCCCACCCAAAGTGTCTCCTTATATGCTCACACATATGTTAATGCAGCCTCTGAGCAGCAGGGTTATTAGACAGTAACAGGAGCCACCTTGTGGACAGTGGATGTTTACTCAGATGAGCAGCATCCAGCAGTTTCTATTGTTTTTTACTGAAATACTAAACACTCATTACTATGTCCCGTCTTTAAGAACAGCAGGTGAGTTGATACATGGTTTAATACTCTAACATCAAACCAACATAAATACCAAACATTTGTAAAGAGTTTCTATAGAGAAAAGTGAAAAGCTAAGACACACCACATGATGTAGAGAGAGGAGTGTGTAACCATATGCTGTAGCTATTTCTTAATGCAGAGATCAGAGGTTTCAGTAAAAACATAACTTTTTTTTTAGCAGTATATGTATAATAATTTTTCTTCTATTGCATGAATCTGAGATGCGTTGACCCCTCACCTTTTGCCAGAGTGCTTCTCTGGAAGCCAGACTGGAACAGGCAGCAACAAACCAGCAGTTTCCCAGTTGGCCTTGATGCAAGTCGTGAGCACTGATCCCATTCACAAACAGGTGAGGGTCGCTGCTTAACTCCTGATAGGAAAGAGGCAGGATGCTATTAGTATACAAAATTTCATTTGTGGCAAACAGATCTATTTCTAGGTTGAGAAATTGTTCTTTAAATGTATTAATCGTTGATGAATGACCCAAACAGTAATAATCTGCATGTGATTAATCTAGAGCATTAAAGTCTGCTACTGTTGGTGTGGATAAATGCTGGACAGGGTGTCACCCAGAACACTCAGTCAATCATTAAGAACAGAGTAAAGAGTAAATATACAGTTCAATAATGAAAAAAAAGCCACTGGGAATGTGAGGCAGAGCACCTGGAGAGCAACCAAATACCAGAGCTAGGATAAACCACAGGCACACACCCAGCAGAACCAGTATGAGGCAACAGGCACTGGTGGCTTTTTTTAAATGTCTCAAACTCTGAGGTCTTGTTGGTATTTAAAACAGAAGAGAAACAGAAGCAGATGTTGTAGACCATGGATTCTGTTGTCTCTAATCAGTGCCTAGTCTCCAAATATAAAACTTGGAGAACATTCAAAAGCATTTACATCGTTCCGGTCATGGAAACAAAAACATAGAATCCTGGTAAATTGGCTCTTAATATAGTACAGAAAACAAAGATGAACTGTAACTCGGAGACTTCAGAGTTTTTGGGGTTTTCATAGACAGTTCAGACTTGCAGCCTGAGTTCTGATTCCTAGAAGGGGAACTTATGGTTCAACGAAAGTCTAAAACCAGGAAAAAGGAGCCGTCTTCAG